CAGCTGCATAGCTTTTATATTTGCGACACCAATCCTCGACATCGTCAAGATAATGGACCCAGTAAAACCGTTCTCGAATCTTCAGTAGAGTTCGTGTAACTCCCATATGGACTCCTGAATAACCATTGTGGTACAGATATAGAACATTCGACACTTTAGCTTTAGGGACACCCATTTGCAAATGACAGCTGTCTCCTCGACCATTTTCCCATTTACGACACAGGACTCCATCCTGAATCAGCAAGCTGTCCCAATGGGCCTAATAGCTTTTCGTGGTCGAACTCATCGCTGAGACGTCTCTCCACTTTGGCTTGAGAGCACTGGCCTTCATCCATTCCAGAATCGGCTTGATGTCCGAATCTTTCTGCTGTGAAGGTCGTAGGCTGTCCTTCCATTCGTTGCTTGCGTGGTCTATCCTGAGAATCCACACACATACCACTTCCTTATCTTCTTGCCTAGTACTATCCTCGCAATCATCAGGATAAGGTCTTCTTGACAATGCATCTGTGTTGCTACGCCATTTCCTGCTATGCAGTGTCCGATAGTAAAGATGTATTCCTGCTGCTGCTGGGTGGTGCTGTTAGCCGCACTACACTTTCAAGATCACCTTCCTTTTTTACAGACCGCTTAGGGCAGCTGGGTCGAAGATGGCCCCTTTCCCCACAGCCGTAGCACCTTGGGCTGTAAATTTTATTGTAGTCGCGGACTGTAGCTGCTGCAATCTCCCTAGCGTGTGGAGAACTGCCGCTGCTGGGCAGTGCCGTTAGCCGCACTACCCTTTCGAGATCGATCAACTTCCCTTTCTTCAGTTCGCTTAGGGCCGCTGGATTGAAGATGACCACTTTGCCCACTGCCATAGCACCTAAGGCTGTATCCATTATAGCGGTCGCGAACAGTAGCTGCTGCAACCTCCCTGATGCAATGGGAATGATGATCCTGCCGCACGGATTCAACTTCCAGTGCATAGGCAAAGGTTTCCTTAAGTGTCTCGTAGTGCCCGAGCTTCACAGCAGCTCTGACTTCAAGGTCACGTGTGCCGTCGATGAATGCCTGCACCAGGTTCCGATCGCGATCTTTAAGCTGCGCACGAAAGACGTGTTCCAGGTGAGCGTCGCCATACCTCGCCTCCAATGACTCATGGAGCTGCTCATAAGTCACTTCCTCACCGAGAGCTTCCAGAAAAGTTAAGACCTGGTCGCGCATGTGCTAGGCGCTTTATTCCAGCCGTTCGCCTTCACAACAGCTTTGAACTGGATTTTGTAGGCCGACCAGGAAAAAGGCCCGTCGAACGGCGGCACTTTGAATCAACGATATGAAGGTGTTGTCCGGGCGCTAATTATAGCGCGCAATACTATTAAATAATATAAAAGAAGACCTTTTGTATTTTGTTTTCTTATTTATGTATTTAATGGGTCAAAAGTTTCTAATTTGGGATTTTTAAAACTTCTAAATATTCATAATTCCTAATATATTAACTTTGTCTTAAAAAGTCATGGGAACTTTTTTAATCGTATTTAATCAAAGAATATTTAAAAATATATCCCATTCGAAAATAACAATTCCTTGCAATTGAAAAAAAAAATCGGTTTATACAATATGGCACCGAGACTGAGATGCCCCAGAATTCAGAAGCTATTATGTAGATTTTTTTGTTGTTAAAGCGTTTATTCGGTTTAAAGATCTTTATTTACTAATTAATACTTATGTCACTTACATGAGTATATTCATACAATTTAAAATAAGTCATCCAGAACAAAATAACAAAATAGTAAACATAAATTAGGGTAGATCGAAAATTGCATGTTAGCTGCGTAAGAGCCATGTTTCAAGTATTGATAACATAAGACGGTGATGCAAGTTATATAATGTCTTGTTTTTTAATGTGGTCTATTAATTTTTTCTTGAAAATATTGAGCGAACTTGCATCTTTTATAGCTGAAGTGAGTTTATTATACAACTGTGCTCCCGCAAATGTTACGGCATTTTTTCCATAATTAGTGCGAATATTTGGTAAAACAAGATGGTTTGCGCGGCGTGATGAGTATTTTAGTGTTTCTCCTTTTGTGGTGAATGTTATATTTGAATCGATCATATTATGTGTGATTTTATATATTATTATAAATGTGTTATAGACGTATAATTTTTTGATGTTTAGTAATTTCGTTTCATGGTATATTGTTTTGGTCGAAGTCAAAAAGTCGTAATGATATAAAATTTTACTTAATTTATTCGTTTACTTATTATTATTAACTTTTTTATCATTATGGACAGTCCGATTTGTTTTTGTTTGGTTTAGTACTTTTTAGTTATGGTAAGTGAATTGATGCTGCAGCAAACACCTGCTAACAACTTTAAACAAAAATGGTTTTAGACTGGTCACACTACTATGGACTAAGACGAAATGCCTCATCTGTGTGTATATCAGATCGTTATACAGCAGTAGCCCATCTACTGCTGTATAACGATCTGATATTCCACTAATTTCAAGACAGAAAACTTCTTTCGCTTATACTATACATAAATTAAAATAACATCGGAATGAATTCCTTTTAGGTAGAATTTTACTCTGTAGATAAGGTACATCGAACTAAGACGCGCTTAAAAAGAAAAGTTGTAACCGAAATCAAAAGATAAGTGACTTATGCCACATTCAAAACCTTCTCCGAGCGAACTTACTTAAGGTCCATTCGAATAAAATATAGATTCTTACGATTCGAGATTTTCTTTGACTTTTTGGACTTAAGAAATAATGTTAAATGAAGTTAATTTTGAGATAATGATTTCTTTAACTTATTTTTAATTCCCGACGATTCGGTTGCTTTACGTCAATCCATGGTCACAAGAGAGGGTGAAGGGGGGGGGGAAGACTAAGATGTTTGACGTCCCAATATCATAGTCAGCCCGGCCTTCAACCTTCAGTTTGGAATATTAATTAATTTTAAGAAACTATATTATTTGTTATTAAGTCTCGGATTTTTAATAGCTTAAGGATAACAATCTTGATGGTAAGTGGATGAAGTAGCCCATGAACATCTAAAATTATCCTAGATTAAGAATAAATATGCAGATGCGTTGTTACCCCTGAAGACATAAACATAAACACTCACGTCTGTCACCCAGAGGGGTAGACAGAGACTACAGACTTCCATTTGGCACGATCCTGACACACCTCTCTCGCCTCCTTCACATCCATACACCTACGCATACATGCTCGTCGGTTAAGGGTACTCCTAATTTGGCCCGTTTTCAATAAATCGCCAATTTGGTGGATAAACTTTCGCCTAGGACGTCCCTTTCCGACTCTACCATTCACTTCTGCAACAAAAATTTTCTTTGTCACTCTTTTCTCATTCATTCTCTCCACATGACCAAACCACTGAAGCATTCCTTTCTTAATCCTGGTCACAACATCATCTTGCAAACCACACTCTTCTCTTATTACATAATTTCTTACCCTGTCGTTCAGATTCAGCCCTAACATACTCCTTAACGACCGCATTTCTACTGCGTTGATTCTACTCTCGTGCTTCTTCTGCCACACCCAACTTTCACTACCATACGTTAAAGTAGGGACCAACACAGTATTGTAAATTGCCATACGTGCCTTTTTTTGACACATTTTGACTCTTCACTATAGAGTGCAGGGCCCTGTTTACTCTATTTCCCTGAAGACTAAGATAGAATTCCACTTTTCCATTAAAAATGATCTCTGATTCTCTACACTTGCCATAAGCAGCATTAAGGTGCTATTTTACCCTGGTATTCTGTGAAAGCGTGATACTAAACTGGTTGAGCTATCTGCAGAGCTGGCTCGTCTAGCTGCAGCATCGCTTTACCACTTATCAAATTCATATTATAATTATATATATATATATATATATATATATATATATATATATATATATATATATATATATATATATATATATATATATATATTATAATTATTCCGTCCATAATATTCTTAAAAAGTAGCAAAAAACTTTATAGTCGATGTGTAACCTTAAGACTACGCATAGGCAGTAATTACTGCCTATTTTTTTCAGTCTACATTATTATTATCTGTTAATTATAATTATAAGCTGTAATAATGCTTTGTTTTTTTTTTCAAAACATAACTAAAGTTCATCTAATTACAGTAATAAACAAATAAAAATAAAAATGTAATTCACATATTTCATAATTATATCATATGACTAAAAAGCTTTGATAACATGTGCAAAATATACTCGCTAAATCGCTGCCATCTGTTGGTAGCGTGTCCAAAAATCTGGATATGTTGCCTCGTTGTATTTCGAGGCCGATTTGATGAACAAAGTATCCGCCTGATTTTGGATCACCAGAGACATAGACACAGCGTGACGAGATATCTCCGTACAAGCGTCGGGGTTTAGGTGTAGGTTCGGTCTCACATGGAATACTGTTCTCAACTCTGAGCTGGGGATCCCCAGTGCCAGCTTCTTCTACTTGACTGAATCCAGTGAAGTGCGGCTCAAATCGTTGACGACCGAGTTCTTTCAGAATGATTTGATTCACTTGCGCTGCTAAGAGATATTGCATCCTTTTGCATTTCCTACCGAGTTTACTACAGTGAGTACCCTGAGTAATTTTTATGATTTTTAGAGCCATCAAATTTCACCAACGCACATCGTGACAAAACTCAAGTTACCATCCACAATGCTTAGCGGTCCACTACTGTGCGATTTACTAGGACTTTTTCCTCGTACGATTACTTTGTGGGATTTTTTACCACCGGCAATTTTCCTTACTTACTGCTCTTACTGACTTAGTGCTCTTTAATATCCTTTTAATAGCCCGGTAACGCACCCATAATTCCCCTGGTGTCCCAGTTTTTTATAGGTGGCGGTAGACACTTACTATATCAGGTGAGCTGCTTGATAGTTTCCCCCCTCTATAAAAATAACTTTGAAGATACCATTACACTTATGTGTCCACATAAGTGGCATCCCACACTAATAAGTGCCCGATTTTTTGATGGAATGAGAATGAATGATGACATCAGGCCAATTGCCATCGTCATGTACTTATACCATTTGGTTCTAAAATGGCAATGGTTGAAGCCCTTCGAAGGACTTGCACGACATTTCGAGGGAAGTGACTTGCGCTCCATTGGCATGCTAGACCATGATGACTTTTATCACAGTGGTAGCGATGAATCTTATTCGTTTTACACCCAATCTCAGGTTGATAGCAAGAAAGAAAAAAATACTCCAAGTTTTCTTATGTTAGACGAGGATAGCGCATACAACCAGCAGCCCGACTATCTCTCCACAGTTGCTAGGTAACGAACTTGAAGGAAATCTTTCTTCGGCATAATCTTATTACACCAGGCAAAAAAATTGCTCCTTATTAGTGTTGAATTATAACATATACTATTATTGTTGGAATTGGAACAATATCTAAGCGTATCATATAAAATATTATCAATTAGGACCAAAGTGATTAAACTCCAAAGCAAATAAATTGACAACAAAGATTCTACGCTAACGAAGTCGCGGGCACGGCTAGTATTCATTAAATCTAATGTCAGTAAAAGCAACATCTAAAGCGAGTTTAATTTATACACAGATCCTGGTTTATCCCGTATTATCCGACTCTATCTGTATAATCTGCGGACGATTAAATCGCAAGCAGTAGAAATTGTGACTGTTAGAATAGTGAACGAAGAAAAACTACGTGTAAGCTATTACAAACAAAACTGTATTGAAATGAAAGCTTTCAAATCGATTAATTTTATGATTATTATTAAATAAGGAGTTTTTAAAACAAGAACTAAAGTTCATGATTTTTAATTTCTTTTCCTTATATGCGTAGGGTTAAAAATATCCCACTTCAGATATAAGTATAGATTTTTTTATACAATAAGAGTGACTGACAAGCACAGTCCACCTAACGTTAAGTGGATTGTGTGGACCATAGACACCTACATTTATTCTTGATTATGAATCAATATGCAGATGCGTCGTCACTCCTGAGGGCTAAGATGGAATGCCTAGAATCCAGTAAAAGGGGTCTCCAGTTTTCTACACTCACGATACGAAACACAGCAGCATTAAGCTGCTATTTTATACTGGTATTCATACTAGTATTGGGTCTATCCACTAAATATTGCAAGGATGCATAATATTCGCTTTGTAGAGGCACGGTAAGAGAATCCAATATCCCATATCATCCCGTGGGTGTCAAAAGATGCGGCAAACAGAAAATTGAACAGGATATAATAATTATTTTGAATGACGTAACTAAACCTACTATAATATCATCACGTTGACTTAATCCTCAAAATTTTCTCGAGCTTTATCTACTTAATCTTCAGTTAAGCTTTAACAAGTAACTCGATAATAGAAATCCGCTTTTAGCTTTACCTTTGTCCTTCGTACGATCACGTACACAATTTCAGTGGCAAACTAATCGTAACTTTTTCTCTTATAATTAGGTTATGTTCCTTTAGTTGATTTTATAGCTTAGGTTTATATTTATCACCTCTTTAATATAATTAAATAATAAATTCGAAAAAAACCTTAACACACTACTAGATTTGTATGAAAAATGAAACTGCGCGATTGTGTCAACAGTCATTAGTGTTTAAAGCTGGATAGGTTTTGGAATCAAGCATACGAGTATTAAAATATTAATGTTAAATTTATCTCTTTGTTACAGTTCAATCTGCCTCATTGGTCCAGTGGTTGCAAACGCGGTTGATCATGAGTTCCTGCGTTCGATTGGTGGGTCAGGCTGTATGATGAGGTTCATTAGGGAATGGTTTAGATTCACAACTGAACCCGGTAGTTGGGACTGTTATCGAGATCTAAAAGTCACCCAATTGCGATACCGAGGCATATTGCTAGTCATTGTAAATACATTTAAGAAAAAGTAAAAATCAACTCTAAAAAAGAAGGAATAAAATGATTTCCACATTTCAATAGCTTTTTATGTCGGTGCGAACACAAACATAATATCGTAGAATGAAAGTTTAGCCTTCAGAAACTACTGAATTACGATAAAACTATTTTATACTTTTTTATTCTTTGAAGCGCTTTTTTGTTCGTAAGATTTATAATTTGACAGTTTTGAGTGAATTAAATAATAATGCAAGTTCAAAGTTAGTCGCTATCTACTTTACGTGTTATAGTCATCTACAGAGAAACTTAAATTTATGGTGATCTTTTTCTTGAAATTTAGATGAGATGACCATCGTCTTTGTAATATAAAAATCAGTTTACAGTCATCTAACGTTAGTTGTAGCACGAATGGTTCGGTCTACTGGGGAAGGACCACGCTCTCACAGAATACCAACGGAAAATAGTAGTTCAATGCTGCGTTATTTAGTACTCGTATGGTGAGTTATTTACTAGAAACGAGGCCTTTCATCTAAGTTCTTACGGGTGACAACGGATTTGAATTTTGATTCTTAATCGAGGATAGATGTAGATGTCTATGGGCCACAGCATCCACTTACCATCAGGTAGACTGTGTGCTCGTTGTTCACCTTATTCTATAATAAACGTACCTTCTCCTTATTAAAAGTCGGTTAGTACAGATTCTCTCTTCTTCGTTAAACGTAAATACTGCGCCTGAAAAAAAATAATTAGCAATCCTTCATAGTTTAAAGATTTATATATATACAAAACAAAAAGACTAAAATCGAAATTATGTTCACTTAAAAACTAAGTCACTTAATACAAAATTGTACATAAAGTTTTGAAGTTATTCCATCATCGGACCAGCAGAAGGTCTCCACCACTTACTGTTGTGTCGAGATACCACAAATTCAAACCGAACGGTTTGCTTCGTCAATCATAATTCGTACAGCATATGAGTGGAATATTCCGGCATGCGTCCATCCGATTAAATTGTAGGTATCAGTAAAGCAAGAGGGAATAGATTTTGTTAACCTAAGTCAGTGTGTTTTACGATCTTTGGTCAAGCATTGGCTTAAAAATGGTAAAAAAGTATAATTGCCTCCACATCGGCCAGTCTAGACAGGGAATTGCCATCTGCGAGGACAGAATTATGGTGCAAGAGTTTGTGCGTATACATAGGTGCACTCGATATAACCTTACTCTTTAAAGTCTTATGGGAAGGAAATACACTACTATCGAAGGTAGATCAGGCGCAGGATCAAATGCTTTACGTGTTTCCTGAGGCACACGGTAGAAATATCGTCAACTTTATAACCCTGTGCTGCTACTGAGAATTCCGTAACAGAAACACCCATTACTGATTTTGACCAGAAACCTGATTCGAACCCGGAACCACATGATCAGTAGTCGCGCTCACGACCTCTATACCAACAAGGCAGTCCATCTTCTCTTAATCACATGATCTACTCGTGGAATACACATAATATATGAAAGTTCAGACGGTCGTTCCTATTAGCATTATTTATAAATTTTATAGTACTTGATGATAATTATTCATTAAAATTTCATTATTTTTCTTGCTCATTTTATTTAAAAGCAAAGAAATATGAATTAAACCTTACTCTTTATGATACCTTTGTTTTAAAAGGGGAAAGTTTAACAGAGATCTTTTTAGATATCCAAAGTGCTCTCCCAACTTTCTTTTTGTTTGATACGGTAAAATACCAGTCCTTATACTTTCAACGTTGTGAAAAAAATATTCTATTCTAAATACTTTCTAACATACATGAAACAGAATATCTAAGTAACGGTTTTAAGCCTTCTTGAGCTTTAATGGAAGGTTTCTGAATTTACACAATATTGTTTGTTGAAGTTACTAATGTAAAATAAATACAATATAATGACCGTTTGAGAGTTTTTGACCTTAATGGCAGGTATAATATGAATGTAAAATAATATGTTTTGCAGAAGTCACTAATTTATATACCTATATATTATTATAAATCTGGTATTTCTCTGTAATATTAAAACAATTAACTTCTATTACTCTAAGGGGGGTTATAGAGGGCAATCTCATACGTGGTTAAGCCATGCTGCAGCTATATTATTGTTGTAGCACGAATGAGTCGGCTCAACCGGGGAAGGACCACGCTTTCACAGAATACCAGCGCAATATAGCAGTTTAATACTGCCGTATTTCATATGATGAGTGTAGAGAAACCGGATATTCTTATTATTGGATACGAGGCATTCCATTTTAGTCCTCAGAGGTGACATCTTCACGTATCTGCATTTTGATTCTTAATCCAGGATAGATATAAATGTAACGACGCATCCACATATCATGAGGCGGAGTGTGTACCAGTTTGTCAACATTATACTATAAAACAAAAGATTTGAAAAGATTTACTACGTTCACACTCATACTCATATGACCATCTATCACCTGTAATAGCTACTGCTTCCTTCGACGTACATACACCAATTGATGCTCGAATACGAATCTGCACCCGTCTTTAAATACAGCTTCTACATATGGATGATTTTATAGAGGTACTTATTCTAAAATGTAAAATTCCTTGCACATTTGGAAATATATTCCTAAATTTCTCAGTATCTATTATTTATTATATACTAGCTGTTCCCTACGACTTCGTTCGCGTGAAATGTATACGGTTGGAATTCAGAGGTTTTGATTTTATTACGCAAAACCCATTGAAGTAATATCACAGAATAAATAATAGTACTACGTAGTAATATGTACTTACGTACTAGATCAACTTTGTTTGTTTTTTATCACAGAATAAACATAGGCAGAATAATCAGTAGGTAATAATAGATTTTATTGTTGAATAGGTAAACTATATCAATAATATATTTTTTTAATTTTGTCATTTATTTTGTATATTATATTTGCTTACTTTTTTTAATTTATTTTTCTTTTCACATACAGTAAGAAGTATAACAATTAGTAAGGTGTAAACATAAACTTTTTAGAGTTTTACGGTACACCCTAAGCCGTCGTTATACATTAATAAAGATTACGACTATTTATAACATATTTGCTACACACTTCATACATCCATACTTAAATAACAATCACAAGACAGCTACACATTTTGTAAACGCAATGAGGGTATATCACAAGATAAGGTTATGTAAAAACCTTTTGTGGACGTTCCTATGCAGCACTGTCTTCATTTTTTGCTACTTTTTATTCTACAGGATGTTTTTTAGCAGAACGTTTATAACAGGTATGGTATAAAGTGTAAAGTTAAAAAGTTACAGCCTATATACCTACGTCCCACTGCTGGGCTCAGGCCTCCCCCTCATTTCTGAGAGGGTTTAGGGCAAGGAAGTGTCCGCCGCGCTGCCCAAATGCGTGTTGACGAACTTCACATGTCTTCGAAATATTTTTTTTC